ACTACAGCTTTTGTAAATCCAGCAGAGAAAATAAACCTCTAGTACTGCACTGGACCAAAAGCGTGTTCCTATGCCATTACTTCTCTCTGTTGGAAGGAACTAGTTGCAGGCCGTGTTTTATAGGCCAACTTTAACCAAACTAGTCAAGAGGCAGGAGTCAAAGGTATACAGTTAATTGTGTGAAACCGAATCAACCAAGAACTTGTTTTCCTCCCCACTTCTGCACTTTCATACTGCAGAGAGAGAAAGCAGTGGACAAATCCTTAATAAAAGGAACTTTCAGTTCAAATAGAGCAGAGCCAGGCTCAGAGATTGAACAGCATAAAAACACAGTGAATATTAAGGGTTGGACAGTAGATTGCATTTCCACACATCTGGAAAACTTTCTTACACACAGAGATTTTGTTCCAACAAAGGAAGAGAAATTTTATTAATTTTCAATTTATCCTCTTTATGGTAATATATTTATATTATATTTCAATTTACTATTATCAATTTATCCTTGGTCCAGAATTGCAGTCAGAGCAGTAAGTCTGACAGGACTGCCTGATGGTGGCTGGTCCTGATACAAAGTTACTGCTATTACCCAGTCTGAAGGTTTGACTGACATATGGGCTGCTGAACCCATATGAATGACTTCTGAAGCACACGCAGCAACCATGGGCTGCTCTGAACATCCACCTCACTATGCAGATATGATATGGTGCACAGAAGCGTTTCCATGGGGATTTCCCAAACAGAAAGCCTTAAGCCTTACCTTGGCAAGCAGCAGATTCATGGTAGATGTTCTGAGGTGTGTGTTCGTTCTGGCAAAGACAGGCTGGAGAAATGGGCTGACAGGAACCTCGTGAAGTCCAACAAGGAGAATGTCAAAGTCCTGGAGCTGGGAAGGAACAGCTCCGTGCACCAGTACACCATGGGACTGACTCACTTGAAAGAAAGCTTTGCAAAAAATGACCTGGGAATCCTTTTGAACATCAGAATGAATGTGACCAGCAGTGTGCCCTTGCTGCAAAGGAGGCAAATAGTGTCCTGGGCTACATTAGACAGAATAATGCCAACATGTTGAGGGAGGTGATCATTCACCTCTACTAAGCACTGGGGAAGCCACACTGGGAGCACTGTGTGCAGTTCTGAGCTCCTCAGTGCAAGAGAGACATGGACATACTGGAGAGTTCAAGAGGGCCACAAAGATGATGAAAGGACTGGAGCACGTCTCCAGCATCTATGAGGAAAGACTGACACAGCTGGATGGTTTATTCTAAAGCAAAGAAGGCTGAGGGGAGATCTTATTAATAGAATCATAGAAGTACAACAACCAACTTTAGCATTTCAATTCAGACTCAATACAGTTTATATTTGCTTCATATTTTTATTCTAATTGGAAGGAAACCCTTACCAGCTACCAGTGGCATTATCTTCCATCTACTTAACAGGATGTAACACATGAAAGTGTCAAGGCAGATGAAGACAAACACACAGATCTTAGCATACTCAGCTAAGTAGATATCTGCTGAGCCTCGTATAGGCTTTACTGAGCTGAGAGTCTTAGGGTGGGAATGTTTCCAGCAAGGGTGGGTCTGTTTTTTGATAACTGTGCCTGCAACAGTAAGACCTGAGTAAACTGCAGTGTACTAGGAGGTGAAAGCTTTTTTTCATCTTGGATTGTCTGGGTTACTTTGGGTGAGTCATTTTGTCTGTGCCAGAGTCCATTCAGCTATCAAAAGATGGTTATCCCTGACTCCTAGGAAGTTGCGAGGTCCTACAAAATAGTGCTGAAGACTTTGCCTACTTTGTCAAAATGGTGGTGGCACCTGCAGAAGGAAAGTTAATAGTTACTTTACCAGAGAATCCCAGTGAAGAAACAGCTTCTTATATTATCATGACGTGTAGGCAAGGTGAGCGTGTCTCTGAGCTTGTGTAGTTTACCTTGTCAAAAATGGAACAGCTTTGCCTCCCCTAGGATTTTATGGTGAAGGGCATATTATAATTTATTATATAATAATGATTTATTATTTTAATATATTAATACGTTAATCTTTAGCTCTTCAAATGTGGGCTCTCAATTTCATCCCAAAGAGATGTGCAGGAAATGTAAAATAAATAAATATATTAGGTTGCCTCAAAAATTGAGCATTCTTTGAAGGGAAAGGATTTTTAGCTGTGGATTTTACTTTCAACAAAGCACGTAGCTTCTCTCTGGGTTCAAGTTTTTGCAATATTAAAGCAATTTGGAGCAAATATATTAATTTTCATGAAAAACAGTTGAACAAGTATCTTTGGCAGAGCTTTTAATCTTCTATCTAGAGCATGTTGATATAGTTGATTGATACATACTGATTTTCTTGGAAGTAAGTTCTTTTTGTATGAACTCTGTAAGCCATCATGAATGAATACTGGAAGAGCATGGCTAGCAATTGAGGTAAGTTACAATCCTTATTCTCCATGTCATTTTTGAGGCTGCACTTGAACTGTGTTGGTTGTGCTGACCCCCAGTTCAAGAGGAACGTGGAGAAACTGGAGGTAGTCCAAAGGAGGACTGTCAAACTGGTCAGAGCACGGGGAGCGGGAAAATTCATTGCCACGGAGAGTGACAAGGTAGGCAAGACTTGTTTAGTCTGACCAAGAGAAAGCTGTAGTGATTAAATAACTAGCTACAAATACTTGAAGAGCAGTTACAAAGATGTTAGAACGTGAATTTTCCTGGTAGGGGCAGAGGATATAATGTGGGGCAATGGCTACCACTGCAGCTTTGGGAGTTCAGACTGGACACAAGGAAAGACATCTTCACCAGAGATTAGTGCAACACAGGAACACATCATGAAATAAATAGCAGGCTCTTCATCCTTGGAAGTTTTTAATATCTGATTTGACAAAGTCGCAGCTGACAGCATTGGCAGAAGTCCTGGTGTAAGTCAAAGGACGGACTACATAACTTCCAGAGCTCCCTTACAACCAACACTTCTGTGATGCTATTCATAAATGAAACAAGATTCTTGGTTTAGATACAGGATACTTAATGCTGGTTTTGTACAGTTGGGGCACCTTTGAGCTATGTCAAATGACAGAACTTCAGATTTCCTGAGAGAAATCTCAGAAAGATGCTACTAAACCACACTCTCCTCATGGATAGGCCAGCACCTTGTGGGAGTTTTCTTGAGGATTTAAGCACTTAAAATCTAGCCAAAAAGATCTAGAAAGCCTATTTGCTTTATCAGTTGTACTCACAGCAAGTAGAAATGGCAGGGGCGTGCAGGAAAATTCATTGCCACTGCCTTGTCTGTGCCACCTCCTAGAAGCTGAATCACATGGGCAATGCAGAGACCCTTGAAATTAGGCTGCTGGGGTCCAAGTTGCTATTGGGAATGAGATGGAGGCCAAGCAGTTTGAGGGCAGTTTGGTATCTGTGAATGTTAAGTGTACCTGCTGGGATTCTCAAGCCTTTGAAAACTTGTCCCCTTCAGTGGACTGAAATAATTTCTCTTAAGTTTTTGGCTACAAGAGCACATTTTTGACCAAGGTCCTAATGATCAGGAGCTGGCTTGGGAGCAGTGTGAGCTGTTTGGCTATTTGACAAAAGGCATTCCTCTGCCATGTGTAGTTCTGCACCTTGTTGCTGTAGGGTTTATGTTCATTCAGTCCAGCTCCTGACGTGTTTGAACCAATGTAAATTGTAATCTTCAAAAAGGCTTTGACCACTCAATGTGCAAATCCTCTTCTCTGTGGGTGAGGCAGACTTTACTGGGTTACATTTCTTTTGGGCAGGCAAAGTGACTTTTAGGCATCAGATGGAGAAGGAAGAGCACAAATCTGGGCCGTCTTTTTGCAGTCTCCAAGGAAATTGGACACTACTATCCTCTTGTTTCCTATGCAGGTCACTGCAGGGCAGAATGTAGTCTGTAATGAAGATTTGTTATTGCGCTGCACTTGGATTTCTTAACTCCAAAGTTCCTGAGCTTACCGAAGTTCTGATGATGATAGTAGGAGAAGGGAAGGACAGTCAGAAAATCATTTTATCCTGCACACTTTTTAATCTGAAAATTATGCTTTACATCCTCTAACATAGAGCTCCATTCTTTGGAGTTTGCATTAGAAATATAAGTAAGGCAGATATTCTACTCCCACTTACAAGGGTAATAATTACCAAAGCTATTGATCTTCCTACTGCAGACCAAGGTAAAGACGGTAAAGACAGTGGTCAAAAAACCCTATTTCCCTCTGTGATACAACACTGCCCATCACAGTGCATTACATAGATTTTCACCTAATTAAACCAGGACAACTCCATCAAACAGCAATAACTTGATCTAGATGTACCAATAACTTGACCCAAAACAACAACCAGTATAGGGAAAGTAAGACCCAGGCCACATATGTTGTGCTGGGTAGGGGTAGCTGCTGCTCTGGGGAACTGGTTAATGTGTTACATGCTGTTAATGAGTTGAACTTTTGGCAGCTTCCCATCATGTCACTGTCCCTGTTTCTGTCAGGGTGAAGGCCAGGTTATTTTAGATGACTTGTTGTTCCAGGCACTCTCTGGCGCCTTTTCCTGGCATTAGCTTTGATGGGACCAGGAATGGAGACCAAAAGGGAACAGCGTGGGTGGAGGGAGAAGGTTTTTACAGTTTAAATTCCTTGTTTTCAGAACCTTCCTGTAAATGATGGTTAGGCACACCCACTCTCGTTTCCCAAATCCTAGCTCAATCTCCTGCTCCCAGTCTGAAGGAAATCAAACAACGCCTGCTCCTCCAGCAGCCTCCATGACTAGTGCCATGTCCAGCTCCATACAGGGAGCCCTGCCAGAAATGGAGGCCTTGCCCTCATCCTCTGCTGTTAGCCCTTTCTTTCTCTAGCTACCACCTTTCCTCTTGCATGGCCTGCTGCCCTGCTCCAAAAGAGACACAGCTCCAGCCTGCCAGGAACCCTCCCCTCCCTCTCTCCCCCAGCACCTGGCCTTCTGCCCGGACTTGGAGCTGCTAGTTCCAACTCCTCCTTATTGCCTCTCCCTGTTTCCGGATCGGCCCTGGCCCCCAGCCCTTATCTCCTCCAGCCCCTGGGCTGTTTGTGAAGGAGACTATAAAGGGCTTGACTGGGAGAGCAGAGGGGGAGTAAAAGCAGCACCCAACCACACTAGGTGTCTGCTTGACTCAGCACGTCCTGCTCCGCACCATGGGGAAAAATGGGCTGCTCATCAAGCCAAGTATCTTCCTGCTTCTTCTCTTCATCCTTCCGGGAGACACCTCACCCATCACAGAGCCGTAAGCTTCACAGGGGGGTCTCTGGGCAGGCAGGAGACTGGAGTTGTATTCCCGTGTCTATTGCTTTATCCCTTATCTTCTGTGTGCTTTCTTTTACCTGGGAAATAAGACACCAGGGCTGGGTAAAGTGCCTTCTAGAAACAGAAACTCTAGTGCTTCAGAGGGACCCAAAACAATATGTGGAACTGAGATATCAGTAAAACTTCAGGGCAAAAAAAAAAAAAGGAGGAGGGAAAGGTCTATGAAAATACCTTTTGCTGTTTCAGTGAATTGACAGGATTTCAACAAAATTTTCTGCAGAAAACTGGTTCTTTTGAAAGGCAACTTTTTATAACTGTTTATACAATGCATTCTTTTTGAGAGAGAGATTGTTTTGAAGGGACAATGAAAGGTTTCGTTTTGGGTATCCTTCTCCCTAGGTACCCTAAAAAAATTCATTTTGAGTATCCTACTCCCAAGGTGAAATTCCCAGGAGTGGGGAGTGGTTTTCTTGATTGATAATGAGAAGAAAAGGAACAAATAACAGATCTGGGATGCTCAGAAATGGCTCTATATTTTAATTAACATTTTTCAACTCAGCAAATGGAATGAAAATTCTTTTCTCACCCCGGGTTATGTGGCACTGTAAGACTGACTGTTCAGGTCTGTGAGGATATATTGTGCCACATCCCTTCTTCATCCACTTTTGACTTGTTTGTATGTGAAGGGAGTGTGTGTTATGTGCATATGTCTACATGTATGGCAGGAGCAGTGTATGAGGGGTCCTGACATTGCAAAGGCTTTCTCCTTTGGCTTTTTGGCAATGTCTTTTCCTCCCTCACAAAGCACAGAGCACCTCACCCATCACAGAGCTTTAAGCTGTGCAGGGGGGTTTCTGGGCAAGGCTGTGCTGCTGTGCTTTCATCAAATGCAGGGGAAACAGACAGCGGGGTTGGGGTCAGAGGGACCAGAGCTTTCTCCCTGCAGACCATTGATGGACATAAAAGCACTAGAGCCTCTCCTACTGCTGAGGTGTTGAGGGCTCTTCTCCCATCTGCTCGCTGCTCTGGGTATGCCCACCAGAGGCCAGTCCTTGCCCACCAAAAAGTGAGGACAATTGGCATTAGGCAGATCAAATTTGATTCCCAGATGCAGTGCTGGGCACCACGTCACCATTGGCAAGTTGTCTCACTGGGAAGGGAGGGACAGAGGGAGGGAGGCTCTGCAGGGCTGAGCAGGGATCCCCTGGTGAGCTGAGACAGAGAGGCTTGCTTCCCTGAAAACCTGAAATTTGCTCCAGTGTTATTGCTTAAGATCTGGCACCACACTGTGGCAGTTTTGAATCTCTGTAAGGAATGAGAGTAGTGCTACAGATGCTTTGAAGTATGTAGTCAATGGCATTTATTCACTGGATACTGGCACTTGTGTGGCTCCTACTAACAGTGTCTAGCAAAGGTGACAATTGACTTTCTCTCTCCTGGCTTTATTAAGGGTCCCAGGTAGAAGTGCTTCTGTTGTGCCAGAACCTGGAAAAACATAACCCTTCCAGATGTTTTCATTGAGGATTTCCTCTGGTATTTTACATTTGAGACTGGCTTTTCTGCTTTCCCAGGCTGTTACAGACATGCTGGAAATCTTGTTACACTCCTAGCAAATGCACCTCTCTCCTTGTACAGTGAAGACTGTAGTCATCAGATTGGTTTATTTCTTCTTTATGTACAGCTTCTCTTGCCTGTTCCTGCCTCTCTGACCTATCCATCTCCTCTGTTCCTAGGCAGTATTTGGTGCTACTGCCCTTCGTGATACACACGGATTCTCGTGAGAAAGTCTGTGTTCAGCTGACCCACCTGAATGAGTCTGTGACTCTGAGTGCCACACTCGAGCATCAAGGGGAGAACAGGAGCTTGATTGATGATGTGGTGTCAGAGAGAGATGTGTTCACCTGCATCCCTTTCTCTGTGAGTATCTCATCCTTGCGGGATGATTCTTTGTGACAGGGACAAACTGTAAAAGCACTGAGAAGTAATGACCAGAGTAACACTGGTAGGTGTTCACCTACCTCTTGGCTAAAGGTATATATGTTATTGTACATCCTCAACACCCTCTCACTGTTGAGGTCTGCTTCATATGCTACCTGACTGTGAGATGCTGAATCCTGGAAAGCCATCACCTCTCTAGGAGAGGAGGAGGCCAGGAGAAAGAAGTGGTTTTAGTATTGACACTCTTGACGGCTGTTTGGTGAAATAGCTCTCCACATCATCCTTCAACAGCCACAGTTTGTCACTTGAGTGCCTTCAAATTGTAGTAGAGCTTTTGGGCCTCAGATACGTTTTGCCTGTTGTACGCTGAACTAATGTAAGAACATGGAGCTGTGATTGCCTGTATCCGAAAAAGACAGCAAAGAAGGAAATTTATAGCTTAATGTAATTGATAGACCCAGGGACTATAACAAGTTGTAGGCAACTAAGAAAGATGATCATTTAGCTCAGAGCATAGATTATGTCTTTGGCCTGAAGACTGAAGAACTGGTATTCAGGACACTGAAAAGATTGGCATTTGCCTCTTAGTTTGTCAGATGTGGGTTTAAGATTGACTTTGTCACTTGTGAGAGAGAGTTATAGTGGTCTGGCATGCCTGGTTTGGAAAAGGAATTGTTCTGCAAGGACTAGGGACATTATCTGAAAGAGAAGAGGGACTATTCCATTCCCCTCGTGAATGTCAAAAGGAAACAGATGGAAAGATTTTGGTCAAGGCAGGTAAGAATTTCCTAAAATTGGGTAGTAGAGCTGGAAGTTCCATCGCTGCACAATACTTACACAATCACTACACAGCAGGAGGAATGGGTAGAAATATGGGACAAATAAAGATCAGTTTCTTGTTCCTGATTATAGTTCCTCTCAAGTCTGTGTTGGGTCCATCAGGATTATATGAGATCTCTTATTTCACGAAAGCCAGTTTAGTTCAGGAAGCCTTCAAACGTGGTCCATAACATAGTTGTCATCTTACTTTCCAGCTTCCAAAATCAAACAGCCCGTTACCAGGCACATTTCTCACTGTGACAGTGAAGGGGCCCACCCTGCAGTTCAGGAGTCGCAAGATGGTGCTGGTCCAGAATTCTGAGAGCTTGGTCTTCGTCCAGACAGACAAACCCATCTACAAGCCTGGACAGACAGGTACCAGGAAAGGAGTGAAGATTTGCTTTTGAAACAAAACTTCATACTGAAGCTGTTGAATTGTGCTGGCCTGATGTAATTGCTTTCAGTAGGAGTCAGAACTGCAACTTCATGGCTGAGGCTTATGACTTATTACTCCATATAGGAACAATTTGGGGAACTTAAGATGCATGCACATATCTGGGGCACCTGCACACACTCCTTCTGTCACTGGGGCCTCTGTTGTTGTGGTCCATGTATTTAGGGTCCGCATTAAAATCAGAGAAGGATTGGATATTTGTCCTATAGAGAACAGGCCCAAATTCAAACAAAGTCATGAAATTGCTTTCAAAGTGGCAGCTGATTTTGTTCAATGAAGACAGAGAGAATTATGTAATCCATTTATTTCTTCTGGGGCATTGATCTCCTAAATTTGGCTTGGATAGAAACAAATGTCCTAAAAGAGATACTGAGTACTCTCTCCATCCAGAGCCGACACAAACTTGCAGCCAAGTGCTGAAGTAACTTGCTTGCATTCATCCTTCCCAGGAAGTCAGCCTACTTATAACAAAATTAAAAGACCCATGTGAATTCCAGCATAAAAATATGTCCTTGCAAAGCAGACAAAGGCAACTCAAGTTTAACTTTGGTCCCAACTAGTGAGATTCTGATGCCCATGATCAGTATGATGTTCACACTGCCATGGATTTGCTCTTAACATCCTCTCATTCGTGTACCCATCTTAGATGGTAACCTAGCATGACTTAGCATTCTAGTGAATGGAATTTCTTTAGAAGAGAACACCTCTGTTCTCTGTTATACCATTTGTTTTTGTAACTGATCTTTACTGGTTGGTGACTGCACTGTGGAACCTCACTGTCTGCCTTTCTCCATCAGTCCTGTTTAGAATTGTTTCTCTGGATGAAGAGTTCCATCCCTTGAATGAAGTGGTAAGTATAATACTTCCTTTTTCAAGTTATTTGGCCTTCAGTCAATTGTGAGAAAAGGGATGAAACTGGGGAGAGCTCTCAGTATATTTGGATAGCTGTGAAATTTCTGCATCACCTCAGATCTTTTTAACAGGGTCTGTTGTCAAATTTCTGTGTAAGACTACCTTCTGCATTCTTTCAAAGGTTTGACAAACTGCAAGTGAACAATGCTGGTGAAAACAGTGAGCAAATCTGCTACTACCACAGTGTACACCTGCTCTTATTGGTCTTGCAGATCATCCAGAGATAGTAACTAGTAATTTCAGTTGTCTTTTCTGCCTGAGAAAAAGAATTGCCTCTCCTGTCCACCCCAGCCCAATGTACCTCAAAATGCTCTGTTGTTCCATATCAGGAACTTTTTTCCTCATCCTATTGGGTGAACACCTTTTACCTTGAGTCATGATCACAGCCCTAGTCATTTCACTTGTTGTGTGCACTCCATCTAAACGTGTTGTTTCTGTTCTTCTTTTTCTAGTTTCCACTGGTGTATATTGAGGTATGTACAAACATTTAATTCATGTTCACATCTATCGCACCTCAACCTGGGCAGAATAAACAGTTGTCTCGAGATGGTTCTCGTTTATTTTTTGTATTAAGCAGATCCATTACATTAATTCAAATATACTGCGCTCTAACTCACATGGTGGCTACCATGTACCTGGGCCCAGGTTACAGCTCCTCTGTCATCCAGCTTTGGACTCCAGACACAACCCTGCTTGTGCCCTCCACTCCTGCCCTGCAGCCTCCTGAAACACAGGGGCTGGCCCTCCCCTCACTGCTTTTGCTAGATCTTGTTGCAGACTCCCATTGTTCTCACAATCTCCTTGTGATCACATTATCTGTAGGACCCAAAGAAAAATCGTCTATACCAATGGACACAGGTAGAGTTAAAGATGGGATTTATACAGCTGTTCTTCAACCTCACCTCTGAACCTGTGCAAGGGACCTACACAGTTGTGGCACAGAAGACCTCTGGGAAGACAATTCAGCATTCTTTCTCTGTGGAGGAATATGGTAACTGTCACTGCGGTTTCAAGTTCCTAACAGCTAGTCCCATGGGGCATGAAAGCTTAATTGAACAGGGTAGCATATATGACGAGGATGTCCAGCATGGCTGGAAAATTGTTTCTGTGTCCTCTCCCTCTCAAGAATCATCTGTTTATGAGGAGGTGACTAAAGGACTTGAGCGACTTATCTCCAGTCCCCCCTAAGCCTCAGACCATGCAGTGCAGTTCTTCTGAACACCTACCTCAGCAAGGCTCCTGTCACAAGGAGCAAAGTGCTTCAGTCAGTGTGTGCTGACAGCCACAAGCCTCACCTCCTTTCAGAGGCATTTTAAGGCCACAGCCTTATATCCAGTTGGCTGCATACCTGTCAAGTGTCATCCTGTAATTCTGGGTTTAGGCTGGGGCTGTCTGTAAATTAAGATCTTGCCTGTCCTCCCCACAGAAGCTAAGCACTGTAGGTTGCACGATGCCTTAGTGCCTTAGTTTCTCTCTGGTTCCATCTGCTTGACTGAAAAAATAGTATCCCAGTACACACCTGCACGTTTGCAACCAACATAGCTTTCAGCAAGCCAGCTGCAGCCCTTGTTGCATGGTCTGACATGATCTGGCTCATGCAGCAGAAGGGTGTCCTGGAAGATGAGTCTGGAAGTCCTTTGACCTCTTACAGTTGCAAGACTGTTCTTTGTCCTGTGGCCTGCATCTCTCCTAGTTCTCCCAGTCACCTTCCATTTCCTCTCCTGCAGTTGTGTTTGAATGGGATATCACTCTGTGCTATGTCACTGGGGAAGCTATGGAGTCTTCCTATTTTGCAAATTAGTAGGATCTATATGCTTTGGAAATGCAGAGACCAGGCTGCAGTCCCAAATCTGCGTATTTGTGGCAAACCTATATTACCTTACCTCTCTATTTTACTGCATCCTGCTGCTGTGGGACTGATAACTAATGTGTTCTCTAAGAAGCTGATGTATTTTAATAGCTGGTGTAAATGATCTTGTCTTCTTACTTGGCACAGTGGTTGGCTGACTGGTTTTCACTGACTTCAGTGGGATGTGCAGGTGACAGAAGCCTCTAAAATCTGACCATTTAGATGTAAAAGCATTTCAGGGAATTTTTAATAACAGCCTTTGAGCAGCCTTCATATGTCATTCTTATGTAATTCTGCACCACATAGACTGTTTTCCTTTGGTTCTACAGTGCTGCCAAAATTCGAAGTAATAGTGAAAATGCCCAAGGTGATCACCATTCTTGCTGAGAAGCTGGAGGTGACAGTTTGTGGACTGTGAGTGCCATTCTTTCAAGTTCTCCTTGGTTTCATTTTTTGATTCAACTGCTACTGAAAGTTCAGTTGTGAGCTTGAGATATGAGACTTTATTATATTTCTCATTCCTTTTGGGGTCCCAGGACCACAGAGACTATATCTATATCTTAGATAGAAGGCAACAGTTACTGTTTGTGGTACTTTGTATGTAACACGTAGAAACATATTGTTGTTCTGTTTTTTGGGAGGGTGTTTCTTGCATATGTTTTGAGTCATAGAGGATTTCACACCTGCTACAGCGCTAGGGAAAAGGTCTTCAGTTTAGTTTACCCAGGAGTGTTTTAACTGTCTTCCGCTTGCTAGTGTGGAGAGGAAAGCCTAAGGGATGCAGCTGCGCTCTTTCCTTTTGGGCACCCCATTTAATTCTGCATAGCAGTGTAGGGAGAGCCATGGCTTGGGCTGAATAATGAGTCAAAAGACCCAGTGCTCTTACGTACAAAAACCAGTCCCATCAGAATTGTGTGGTGAGGTAGATACTTTCAACACGTTCTCCAAGATGAGGGGACTCTCAACTAAATCAGCATTAGCGTAAATGAATTCCGAAGACTTATGTGTTATTCCCAGGGATGCAAACAGGACTACTAGATTCAGTGCTTCTACCCCTGTTGCCAAGCTTGATCCTACCATGTTACCAAATTTCTTTCTGCTTTTTATTTCCTGTGATGACCCTCTGTATCCTGGAGGCAGCTCTAGGGAAGAGTCCTGGAACCACTAGGGGTGAGCTTGTAAGTTTTCTCCATCCCTCTTACATTCCTAAAGACTCTGTTTTCTTTTCAATCCTCCATGTTGGTAGATACACATTTGGGAAGCCTGTTCCTGGTCTCGTGAGCTTCCGTGTCTGCCGGAAGTTTGAACACACAGGCCGTACCTGCTACGGTGAAGAGGACAAAGCAGTGTGTGAGGAGTTCTCTGGACATGTGAGTCATCATTACTCTTGTGGGTAGAGTGATAGGAGAAAGTGTTATTTATTGAGCATGCCTGGTAGGCACAGCTTGCTCTGAGTATGTACAAGCATAGTGTGAAGAGTGTGGTGAGGCACTGGCACAGGTTGCTGAGTGAAGTTGTGGATGGCCCATCCCTGGAAGTGTTCAGGCCACTCTGGATGGGGCTTTGAACAATCTGGTCTAGTGGGAGGTGTCCCTTCCCATGGCAGGGGAGTTGGAACATAGATGACCTTCAAGGTCCATTCTGACCTAAACTATTATGTGATTCTATGATTTTATGAAAATCCATGTATTTTAAGGAAGCCTGAAGAAGGAGAGAAGATTGGGTACAAGATGAAATATGAAACATAAAAATAGGGGTAAGGTCTGCACAGTAAGAATGATATGTGTAAAGGCCATAAGATGATGGAGAATGAAGAGATGAAAGAAATAACAGAAAGGTCAGATGGAGTGTAAAGAGTATAAGAGAAAAATGAGGTAGAAAAGCCATGAATGATGAGAGCACAGCTGGGGTTGTCTTACGCTGGAGCCAGTGTGTGGGGTCATAAGTTGGTGTTAGAAGCAGGAAAGGAGCAGAAACCAGAGGAGGGGATGATGCATTTTGAGCTAGAAGGAAATGAATATAGGTTTAACAGTAGTGGTTAAGACAGGTAGGAAAAAAAGTCAGTTTTTTCACGCTTCCAGCTGACAAGTCTACAAGAGCAAAACTGGGTGGAGTTTGGAGCACACACAGGTACAACAGTGCTAGCTCAATTGGCAGAAACAAGGATAATAGAAGTTGTGGAGATATGCCAGGAAAAGAAAGCAAGCAGAAGACATTCTTGTGGTCCTTGGGCTCTGATACAGTATGATGTCCACAATTGCCTCTGCCACTGCTGTTTTTCATGTTATGAGAAAATACGAACACTGCAGTGCTAACCTCTGTTCCGGGCATCTCTTCTGTGGAAACTTGCCTTGTATATGAAGATCCTGAAGAGAGGTGACAAGCTTTGGAAATATTTTTCCAGCTGTCATCTGTTTTCTATGTATACACAGGCTTTGGTTTATATATCACTCATATGGTTTATGCATTTTAAATCAGCAGCAGTATATTCTAAGGTGCCTGATGCCTGACAAACACTTCTTGTGTGGCATACACTTGACTAATTCCCTATGCTTTTGTACCGAATGTTTGAAACTTCAAACTTCACAAACACATACTGAAAAATCTTCTAGTTTGCAAACTCTTTGCTCTGATGTTGCTGCAAGTACTTCAAAATGCTTTCGGCCAAGTTATTTAGGTCCTTTTCCGGTTTTCATAAAAACAACAGAGGGAAATTATCTGTGGGCTTCTCTTTCAGTTCAGAGCAATGCACAGTGATGGATTCATTAAGTTGAATAACCATTGTATAAATGAGAATACAATGGTCTTATTTGTTTCTCTCCAACAGGCAGACAACTATGGCTGCATTTCTGAAACAGTAAAGACCAAGTTATTCCAGCTGAAGAGAGGTGGATATGAGAATAAGCTCCATGTGGAGGCTAAGATTAAAGAGGAGGATACAGGTACGAATCATCTGGATGAAAGAGCCATATAATAAGACCAGCAGAGACCAGCAGAGGGCCCTGCCAAATAGGAATGAGGAAGCAAAGCAGACTCTAGCTTTTCTGGAATCCCAAAGTTTTCCTACATGTTGTTGAGGACCATCAACAAAATAATTTGTCCAGCAAAGGAGGGCTGGCCTAGAGTAAAAGTAATTCTCATCAGGCAGAGGCAAATTGGTTCTTCATGTTTCTTTCTGTAGGAGTGGAGTTCACTGGAACAAGCTTTTCTGAGATCACAAGCACCATTAGTAGAATCACCTTTGAGCATTCAGACTCCTACTACAAACGTGGAATCCCCTTCTTTGGGCAGGTAGGGAAACCACGAGAATGGAATGCCATGAGTGCTAAGCAATGATGCTACTGAACCTCCTGCCCAACCTCTGAAAACATGCTGGACCTCAGTGCTACTAATCCCTGTGGGTCTCCTTTCCTCTTCAGGCTCTAAAACTGGGGAACAGCAGCCGAGAACACAGCCCTCATTCTGCTTACCTGTCTATCCTTGCGCTTTTGCTGCTCCAGTCCAGTAAAATTCTGCTTCTCCAGTTACCTGTTAAATAGGAGGCCTTGGGGGTGTGAGTGCATGTCATGCTCCACGCCCACTCATCTGACCTAGCGGCAGAGATAAGAAAGAGACAAAGAAAAAATATTCAGAAAGTTTGCAGCTGTTTCTGAAAGACATACGTGTAAAGTGTTGTGTCGGCTTCCTTGTATGGCATAGACCCAACATCTTTAGTTTGGTGGTCTGTCACTCTGTTCAGGTGGCAGCCGTTCCTTTCCTGTACTGTTTTTGCTCCTCCAGGTGAAATTAGTGGATGGGTCTGGTGCTCCAATCGCCAATGAAACTGTGAGGATTTCTTTTCAAGGGGAACAGGAAAAAAACTATACAACAAATGAAGAGGGCATGGCACAGTTTGCCCTAAACACTTCCATGTTGTCCTTTGACACTGTTGGAATTAGGGTAAGTCAGCCCGACATAGACAAATCTGTTTCAAGGGTGGGTCTATCTCCCATGATGGAGTGCTGCTAGTGCTTCACTGTCATTTTAATTGAATTATTTCACCATCTTAATATCCTTTGTGGTGAGTTAAGGCAAGCTGCATATCTCAGAGCTTGATGTAGAATTTCAAGTTGCTAAGTAGACTTCCTAATTTTTTCCTTTTCCTTTTTTTTTCTTTTTCCTCTTTTCTGCTGTAAAAAGAGTATGAACCATTCACATAAATTCTCTCCCAGGTGTGGGATTTGTTTGTCTGGATTAGGGCAGAATATTTATGTCTAGAATAATATTTGCTCTTCTCCTTACAATTCTCTCATCACAGATTAAAACCATTGAAAAATTATCCAGAAGTTACTACTAGATGCTTGAAGTTTTCAGATTTTTTCAGGGTAAAGAAAAGGCAAGAATTCCCAAGTATAATGAGAAAGATAAGGAAATAAGGGCATGTGAGGCACACATGAATGCTAAAGTAGTGCCCTTCTAAATGAAATATCTTCCCCTTGCTCTCATTTTTAAGGGGGCTTAGACTCTTTCAGCTCTTGAATTTCTATTCAATTTAGGTTTTGAATTATTAGGTGGAGATTTTCCTCCTTTTCTATAGTATCCATAGCTTGATCTTGGCACTGGTGATATCTTAAGTGAACAGCACTATCCCTTCTTCAGTGCCAATAATAAGAAAAGATACGAGAACCAGCTTATTTTCTCTTTAAACGATCAGAATATTAGAGAGGGCAAGGTATTAGTGTAAAAAGTCCTTGAGGGAATACTGATAGTAAACAAAAATCTGATATGATTCAGCTTGTTTGACACAAACTCCAGCTTATCTGGTAGTGAGGTCATTCCCAATGATTTGACAAGGATATCACCACCCTGTCTTGCACTTTCCAAACTCATGGGTTTTTTTATGTTTTAGACTTCCTCGTTGCTACAATACAAAAAAATACCAAACCTTTAATATTAGTACATGAATTTTGGCTCCAGTTCAGCCACTTGTGTTTGAGGATCTATGTGTGTATTTTCTCATTTTCCAGGCAATTCATAAAACACACCCCTTCTGCTATGATCGTTCCTGGGTTGTTCCATATTATGCAGACGGCTATCTCCAACTAAAGCGCTTTTACTCTCCTAGTAATAGCTTCCTCAAAATTGAGCCCAAGTCTGAGGCACTAAGCTGTGGCTCCTCCACAGAGATCCGGGTGCATTATATCCTTACTCCGGAGGCCATAGCAGAGCAGAAGAAAATCACCTTTTATTACCTGGTAAGTTTGCACTGCCATACAGTCAGGTTGTCACTGGCAATGGTAGGGGGACTGGAAATGGAAATCCTGGTTTGTGTCAGCAGGCTTTAAACACTTTCTCATCACCCTTCTTAGGTTCTTTCCCAAAAGAGGGGAAATGGGAAAATAAATGTTCTTTGCCCCCTGGGTGAGCACTGGGATTCTGCTATAGGGGGGCAGAGAGCAACTGAGCGGGGTGTGAGCAGCAGACACACAGCTCAGTTGCCCTCCTCTCAGGTTCCCCCACTTCAAAGTTTGGCTCATGCATAACCTCATTCACAACAAAGTTTCTGCTTCCATTCAGGTGATGGCCAAGGGAAACATTAAGCAAGCAGGCACCCACATTCTGGATTTGGACCAGGAGAGTGGTGAGTTCCTCTTCCCTACCAAATTGTCTCTGTTGTGGGAGGCTAGGGAACTGTGGCAGACATACACTCTGCTTCCATATAAATGCAGGGATCCAAAACTCCATGTCCCCTAAGATCTGGGAAGAGTATGACCTTTATTTTCTCTGCCTTTATTTAGACTTTGCACAGATTTGCTCTAATCCCCTGTGCCAGCTGTCTTTGTTCTGACATTTTCTGGGGCTCAAGTATTCCTAGGAGACACAGTCTGATGGTCTGTTTTAGAAATCAAAGCAAAATTCAGCACACTTATGCATTGGAAAACAGGCCTTTTCAGTCATACAGTGAGACTTACGCATCTCTGTGAGCACCAATTTATCCCACTTGGACACTTGGAGTTTTGTAATGGCTAGAATGAAGTTGAGCATAAAGTCAAACTTTGAATTTTGGCTGCTCCAAGAGGTTTCTTGCACCTTAACTTTTTACCCTTGTTTTTTTTGCTAGCTAGTGGTGTCTTCTTGCTACAGCTGCCTGTACAAGCTGATATTGCTCCAGTGGCCCAAGTACTTGTTTACACCACTGCCCCCAGCAGGGAGGTGATCGCTGATTCAGCCAAGTTCTACATAGAATTATGTTTCAACAATAAGGTAAGTGCCCACTTCTTGAGGCAGCAGCTATCAGACTGCAATGTGGTCAAGCTTGCTTACTTAAGATTTAGCCTGGCTAAGCTAATTTCTTTGGATTTACTAACACTGGACAAGCAGCGTATCAATTGTTGTAGGTAGCTTCACTGCTTACTGGTTTGTGCTAGCCTGGAGGATATCAGCTGTTGGAAAAAAAGTGCTAGTAGGGACTACACTGACAAAACCCCTGTTAGCAACTAGTGAGAGCCATTGATCCCACAGATGGTCCTGTCTAAGAAAAATGTGGGGGAGATGCATGTTTTATTCATACTGCAACACATCTATTTCACTTCTTTTCACATAAACTCATTCCATCAATGAGGTATCTGCTTATGGAGCCACCAAGCAAAAATAAAACACACATAGCCCTAATCCAGTGGGCAAAGCTAATACTTGTCATATCTCTCAGCTGCTGTAAAGCTCATCCTGTCATTTTAATTTCTATTAAATTCATGTAAATGGAGATAAATGTTGACTGAACCTTCTGAGCAGTGTACAGTGATGCTTCAATAGCAATGGTGAGACTGAAAGAGTGCAGAAAAATAAAGCTTTCTCTCTGTAAGCACATGCACTATTTTTCTCTTTCAACCCCCCATATTCTTTATGCAGAAGAGCAGATTGATATAAGAGCAGTTCTAAGAAGAGAACAACCTGAAAAATTTCCATCGGGACTTAAGAATACTAGATGTTGCTGAAGACAGTCCCTTGTTCTGCTAAAACACAGGCTAAATGAGTTATTGGGACTGGTTACACTATAGGAGCTTGGTCACCTGAATTTTGTTCATGTACTAAAGGTCATACTATGGACTGCATTAAGGTCTGTCTGCAAGCCAAGTGCCAAATAATTTACATGATTAGATACTGCTTTCTTTTCTGAAAGCATGCTGAATACAAAGCTGCTGTCAGTTCGGATAGGACAGACTTAGGGCTATCTCTATGCTAGACAGTTTTCCTAGTAACAAGCTTGCTACAGTCCTTTTTCTGCTATTTCCTGGAGAATACTTTTTTGCAGTCTCAAGAGTCTACCCTGGGAGAGTTGGAGGCTTTCAGCAGAAGGCATGCTGTATTCTGGTTGGGACATGAGGGAAACTGGCAGCTGATGCTGCTTTGTCAGGCAACAGATTTACTCTGAGGATGCTTTGATCATTGCATGTTCAGGGAGGATTTGTATGCTGAGGAGAGAGAAGATTTATGCAGGTCAGCCATCTTATTACAAAATCACGTGATATCATGGTGACAATAACTTTTGCTAGCAAGAACTTCCAGGGCACAGGTAGGTAGGGCATTGTTAGAGTTGTGAGTTAGGTTTTGGAGAAGTCTGGCATGCCTCAGCAAACAGGCCAGCTCTTCAGAATCATTATGAGCCAGCAGATATTGCAGTATTGCTCCAGGGCATCACTGCTTCTCATGTTACCAAAGAATCTGCTAAGCAAGGTGTTTGCAAGCTGGTTTTCTCTCCACATACAATATCTTGGTGCAGTACAGGTACTTGTCCTGGTTCAAGACCATGCTCCATTGCCTGAACACATCTAGCCACTATGTGGGATTATCTCATCATGCTCACAATGATCTTAAACCCAAAATCACCTTAAAAGTTATATGAGCAATTGTGATGCTTGAAGTTGCCAAGAATTCTTAGTGCTGATTCCCCTCGAGCTGCAGAAAGGGAACAGTAGCACAGAGGGAGTGTAGAAGGAGGTGTGAATGTCTGTGGGGGCTTTGTAAGGTTAGAACTGCATGTGCTCAACTGGAAGGAAAAGTCCTGCAAGAGTAAGGCATCTGTGACATAGCTTTTCCTGTGGTTACAGGTGGACTTAAACTTCTCTCCTTCAGAAGGCCTGCCTTCCTCTGATGCTCACTTGCTGTTCCGAGCCTCCCCAAACTCCCTCTGTGCTGTCCGTGCTGTGGACAAGAGTGTTCTCCTCATGAAGCCAGAAGCTGACCTGTCACCTGCCTCTGTAAGTTCTTAGTCTGTGGAACAAGTCAAAACCCGGCAAGTGCAGCCCAGTGCTGGGATGGAAACAGGGAACCGTCCCTCTTGTCAGAGCTGACACAAAGCTCCCCTGTGCCGTTTCTCATCTTCTTCTAGCGGGTAAAAGAATGAGAAATGGGCTCCCACCACAGGGAGGATCATGGGAATGTGGATGTATGTGCTCATGATGTGACTTTTATGGTGCTTGCATCCAACTTCCTGAGTTGTGTTTTATAACAATGGACACTGAACATACCAAATACTTTGTCTCTTTCTGCCTAGGTGTATAACTTACTGCCAGTGAAGGAATTGCATGGCTATCAGCATGGTCCAAACATGCTCTTCGAGGATCCCCTGGACAATTGCATTCCCGTGAAGCAAATAGTTGTGGATGGGATCACCTATGCTCCAGTAATGGGGATGAATGAAGAGGACACTTATAGCATCCTAAAGGTATAGCCCTCTTCCATGGTTGTGGAGTGGGAGAATGATTGAGAATGCCTAAGCCTTCTGTGGCATCATGCAATGTAACAAGGGAAGGGTTTGTGAATCTGAATGATCTGACACTAATTTTTATCCAGAGGCACGCTCAGTGAGAGTCATAGGCTTTACTTGTCAGCTTTGCTCTGCTGGAAAAGGGATCAGTCTCAAAGTTTTCTTCTCACAGGAAAAGCTTTGAGGTTGACTTGAAATGAGGTTACAACTGAGGATAAATAATTCCATGACATCAGTTACCTCGAATAAATCAATACACCCTTGAGCTGCATTGTAGTCACAGACATTTCCTTCCAGAGAGAAAACTCCCTGGCTCATCCTGACCCCTAGGCTGGACTTGGACTGAAACCTGTGGCCCAGAAACAGAGGGGATATATCCTTTGGTCTCTCTGAGCCACCCAGGCACTCAGAGCCAGGGCTGAGGGGATTGTCTCAAGGTCCAATCCACACACAGTAACAACTTTTCCATTTTGAGGCAGTCAGGTCTGCTGGGTAAACCTTAACAGGATTCAGTAACAAAAAAATATGTTTGGTTTCTTTCCCATAGGATATGGGTTTAAAGGTTTTCACAAATACGAAGGTGAGGAAACCTTGGTACTGCAGCCCTGATAATTACGCCAACCCCTTCTTTCGACATGCCGGCCTTGCAGCACCTTCAGTCGCAGCTGGAGCACCTATGTATGCAATGAGGACAAGTGGTAAAGCAACTGGGTTTTGTTATCACTTCTGTTCTGAACAGACAGCCTGTTTGTATTTTGGGGTGAATACTTAAACAAGAGCTGGGGTTGTGAATTGAAACCTTGGAAATAGTACTGAATTGATGGGTTCAGAGATTTCAGGTTCTGAATGGGTTTTGCTGGGTTCTGAAGGTCTACAGACAAATTTTGATAACTCCACACTAGAAGTCAGCAGAACCAGGCAGTTTTCAAAGACTCTGGCAGAGAAGAGGGTATTATTCTGCTGCTGAATTCTCTGTTCATTAGGCTTTTACAGTAGACTGCTTTTCCGAGATTATCACTGAAGGAACCTCCAATACAATTTTCAGGCTGTTCTCCTTGACTCAGCCAGTTTTATGTATGGTTAAAACCATGAAGTGTATGGCAAATTTTTCAGTGACAAATTGGTAGACCTTGGGAATTATAAGATATATATGGTAGAAGTTCAGTCTGAAACTGACCCATTCTATTTTTAAGGTCTATCTCAACTCCTACACTGTAACTGTTTGGGCAACAGAATTGGCCTTATCATTCTTCAGAGTCTCATAAAGGGAAATATCTTAGAAATTACAAGTTATTCTATCTGGATAGCTGATTCGGAGAGTTTTCCCTTGGCACAAGCACCTGTGCTTTTGTATGTGTCCAGTTTGAAAACAATTTCAACTTCTGACACAAGTTGCTACAATGCAGGATAGATGCTTTTTAATTATTGTAAACTGAAATAGGCAGCAGTAAGAAGACTGAAATACCACAGTAGACAAATAAAAGCAAGCCACCTGTCACTTTTGCTAGGAGCTATGTGATACACCTCTGATAGATTCTTTCAGTTGTGCCCTGAGACTTTCTCAGGTTCTGGAGGTGCCCGTTGCACAAATAGTATGAATATTTGTTAGCTACACAATTGTCATCCAAATGCAGAAATTAATTTAGCCAAAGTAAAGATGACCAAATTAAGAAACTTTTCTTGTTTATCTGTTTGGATGCATTTTTCTTTCTGATTGTAAAAGCCAGGCAAAGCAAGTCCCACCCACCCCATCTTTGTTTTCCAGTTGTTCAAAACTGAAGTAAAACAATTTTTTTACCAAATTTAATCCCAAACACAGAATATTTTATTGAGAACAATTTTTGTATGTGAAAACTTTGTTTTAGTCAAAGTAGTCCTTTTTACCCCTCCTAAATTCCAGCTGTATGTTTTTGTTTTGAGCATCTTCATCGTAGTTCTTGAGGAGGCAGGAAGGTGGTTTTCTGAGTCACAATGACCCTACAAAAAAACCTGCAACAGAGTGCTAGTGCTAGTTCCAGTGCTAGCTGGCCTGATAGGATGGAGAAGATGGTCACATCAAGGCTGTACCTGAAAGGGAAAAGGCTGTTTGCACAGAATAAGTTTTTGCTCTAAATCCTTTTTTTAAACCTTACAAAGTGCTGCTCTGCAAACTTTGAGATTCTCTGGATCTTCTTTCCAGCAGGAAATAATGGAAGGCTAGGTTTTCTTGCTAATAGGAAATGAACCTTAAATTTCACAGCTGTTGGTACCGGTGCTCTCTACAGCCACAACAAGCATCTGCTGCTGATTGCCACACAGATTGAAACTTTCTCAGACTGAAGCATGATGCTGATACAGGTCTTGCTTGTTTAGAATTATCAGTAATTGATTTCTTTTTCATCTCATCACATGCAGGTATTGTGGGGGATACAGTTTATGAGACCTCAAGTATTCCTGAAGTGGTGACAGAGACAGTCCGAAAGTATTTCCCAGAAACCTGGATTTGGAGTTTAGTACCTATAAGGTGAGTCCCTTGGGCCATTTCATTCCTTTTAAATAAAACTGGGTTTATAAAGTGAAAATATGAATCCCAAAGTGTTTGCCAGCCTTTTCAATACCAGAAAGTCCTTCAGTGTTTGCAGAGATCACTTGGCAATCCTCTGAGATAAAATTACTTTCAGCCATGGTTAGGTTTGTCCAAGGAGTGAACTGAAAGAAGATGTAGAGTGGTCCTACAGTAGCAAACATACTGTGCCCCGTAATTCACACAGACAATACTATTTCTTAGGCCAAAACAGGTACAGCTTGTCAACAAAATGCCATAAAAATCATCCCTCTGTCCTTGCTTCTGTGCTTCATCAGCTCTGAGGGAAATGCTGATCTAGATGTGACCATCCCTGACACCATCACCGAGTGGAAAGCCAATGCATTCTGCACTTCAGCAGACACAGGCTTTGGCCTGTCCCCGACAGTGTCCTTCAGGGCCTTCCAGCCCTTCTTTGTTGAGCTCACCATGCCCTACTCTGTAGTGCGTGGGGAGTCCTTCACACTGAAAGCCACTGTTTTCAACTACCTGACCGCCTGCATCAGGGTAAGGGAGGTTTAAATCCTTCTCTGTACCTGCGTTCCTTTTTGTGCACCTCTTGCCTTCCACCTAGCCTTCTTATCTTATCTCTCAGTAGACCTAGGCTCTTCACTCCAGAAATTCTTACATTATTTCTCCTGTATACTCCAAATGCACAACCCACAACTTCAGTTCCCTGCTCCTTTGTGACTGAAGAAACAGCTATTTCTATGGCTTCCTAGCTCCCCCTCTTTCGGGATCACCCTTCCCTGATTGCACCTCTCTCTACAACTGGCAGGTCAGCGTGACTCTGGCTCAGTCTACTAATTTCCTGACTATTCCAGTGGAAAAGGATGAAGTATCTCACTGTCTTTGTGAGAATGGGAGGAAAACCGTGGCTTGGCTGGTGACTCCAAAATCTCTAGGTAAATGTCTCAGGGTGCTACCAACTGCAGGAAGGGTTTCTCTGTGCTGTTCTTCCTGTTCACTATTGGGTGTTAGACCAACACGTTTTCCTGGAAAGCATTTCAGTTGAGTGTGTCTGATCTGGGGTTATTTGGGAGGCAAACATTGGAGATTCATAGTGTCCGAGACTGTATCTGGCACCACATGCAATACCATCAAGCCTTATGGCCCTTGGACATCATCTCCTGAAGCCAGAGACATTGATGGACAGCAGACACACTGTGTTAGCTCCATTCCTCCCCGAGATTAGATATCTTCTCCATGGGATCTTCATATTTTGTTTTCATTGTTATTAAGTGTTGTGGTAGCAGCTATGGTATCCATGCAGGGTAGCAGAGTGCTGAACAGCAGTGGGGCTGGTCATTCTCAACACTGTCCTAGATTCTGGAAAAGAGTCACCAAAGTCACCTTTCAATGACAGTGCAGCTCATCTGCTCCAGGATGGCTTCTGGTATAGACAGTTGTGTTTTTGTGGGGAAGAAGCAGAGCCTAGATGTGACAGAAATCCCCATCCATGAGCCTGCATGTTGAAACTCCTGGAAGTGTCAATGACTCCCCTTGCCTGGCTCTGCCTGGCAGGGCTGACTGATCTCTGTTTCCTCCAGGGCAGGTGGAGTTCTCGGTGAGCACTGAGGCCCTACAGAACCAGCAGCCCTGCGGGAACTACATTGTGGAGACCCCTGAGAAAGGGAGGAAAGACACAGTCATCAGACAGCTGCTGGTGGAGGTATGCGGGCTGTGGGAAGGGAGCACTGAGCTTTCCTGTGGGTAACTGTGGATGCTGGCATACAACTGGACAGGATGCTAGATAGTCTCATCTAGAGTCCTTTTCTCATTAAAGGTTGAACCAGATGACCTTTTGAGAACCCTTCTAATCTGGCCCGGTCTATGATTTTATGAGATCACAGTGCAGAATGGCAATATGATGGGCTTATGTCATCTTTATACTTTGACAGGGCTGCATAAAGACTGCAGCTTAGTAATCTGTATTGTGTCTCCTGGTACACTAAACTTTCCCTATCTCCTATAATAACAGGACTTCTACTCCAATCCATCCTTCCCTTTAACTCCTATTCCAATACACCCTTTTTATAGCCTCTCTCCTTCTTTTGAGACACCCCCAGTAAGCATGGGCCCGTCAGCACATGCTGCCTCTCATCTAGTTGAGTGGCCAAGCAAACTGCCTCAAGCTAAGTGTTTTGCAGTTCTGATTTGATAACATAGTCTGGCACGAGGATGAAGGTGAGGAATTCACAAACACCTATGGAAATTTGATGACTGTAAAGAAGACCCCTCAAAACTCCAGTTATTGTAAAAGTCTATGAAAACATGTTAAAATTTTACATCTTATCCATTTCCTGTGGCAAGAAGAGTTGCTGATGTGATATGGTACACAAGGAAATATTACGGGGCAGAATTGGATATCCTTTATAGTTGCTGGTTTATTATACACTGAGTGTGGTAACCTGGCAGGTAGATTCCATGTTCGTAGCTTTCCTCTGTATCATAAAATTCCCTAATGTTTGCCCACTATGTTGTATGCTACGAGTAGTGGCATCAGATATTACAGTGTACAACATCTTCCCTTTCTATTATTGACATACACATTTTTTTTTCCCCTAAAGCATCTAAAGCATTATGGTAAGCAGCACTGCAGAAATCTCTTCAGGACAGGTCTCTGTAATCCTGCAGTCCTTTTGTTACAAGGATGTTAAGTGTTTCTCACTGCATAAAATATTTACAGATCACCCATGCGATAGTCCTGCAGTGTTCTCCTCTCCTTTTCATGCCCTTCCTTCACACACAACACTAATCATTTAGGATCATATTTATTTTATTTGCTTAGATTATTTTTTCAGAGCTCTGTATTTCAGGTAATGTTTGTGACTGCTTCTCCTTCTTCAGTTCCCTCATTTTTCTTTTTATTTATTTCTCTGTCCTTGTTAAGGATTCCTGTCTGTCTGTATTTCCTGTCTCACTAACTTTTCACCTGTCTTGTTTTCCTTCATCCTACCCAAGCCGGAAGGAGTTGAGAAGGAAACAACCCAGAATTCTGTGCTCTGTGTAAAAGGTAAAGCCCACTCTTCCCACTCTCTCCGTTTGTTCCCGTGTGCTTTGATGGGTGGGATGTACCTGGAGGAGGCCTGCTTCTATTATATTCCTGATAGTCTGATATTTTTGTGTAATCAAAACATGCCCCATTAGTTGGGAGTCTGAGACATAAGACAAAAGAAAGTCCTAAAGAGTGGACCATCCTGCTTAAGCATCATAGGGAGCTAGGACAGATTTAGGATGAATGTTTGCATCCTTGTTCTCTCGAGTGCTGGCATTGGAGTCTTAAATGCTGTCTCTTGTTTTCTAGTGCAGCCAGGAAAAAGCTGTAGACACACAATCTACAGTGACTAAAAGTGCTTGGGAGTGGTTTCATGCAGAGATCATGTTATAGCCAGGAAAATATGAAGTTACTGAAGTCAGGGCATTTCTGATAGGAAATGTTTCTCTGAGGTCTCCTTTTCCATTACGCATTTCTTGGAACCTCACTGAAGCTGTTTGGGTCTTGTTTCTTTCTCAGGAGTGCCTGTGAAAGAGAAGATTTCCCTGTTGCTACCCACAAATGTGGTACAAGACTCAGGCAGAGCATATTTCTCAGTGCTGGGTGAGTGAATAGCTTAGCAGAAGAACCATGTGCTGTTTCTGCTTCTTTCTGTTGGCCTCCTACCTCTCAGCTTTTTCTTCTGGTTTCTAGCATAGCTCACTCTTGTCTTTAATCTCTTCTGTCTTGAGCACTTTCCCTTCCAGTTATGCTCTTTCTTTTCCCCTTTCTGCATGCCCTGTTTCTCAGTGTTCTCACAGTGCCCTAACCTTTATCTCATTTCCCTCTTTTCCTTTGCTGTTCTGTGTTTTGTTCCAGGATCTTTATCAATCCAAATTGTCTTTTGTTTTTCTCTGATATCTCCTGCTTCTCTCATTCAGCTTCATCTTATTCTAATAGCCAGCCCTAAGTATTTTAAACATCCCTCTGGTATCTCCTGCTCCTCAGGTGACATCATGGGCACTGCCATGCAGAACCTGCACCAGCTCCTCCAGATGCCATTTGGCTGTGGAGAGCAGAACATGGTCCTGTTTGCACCCAACATCTATGTCCTGGACTATCTGAACAAGACAGGGCAGCTGAGTGAGGAGGTCAAATCCAAGGCCACTGGATACTTAGTGAGCGGTAAGCTGGGACATGGCTTTTGCTTCTGCTTTGGCTTTCTTCCAGATCCTGCTTGGGGTGGTTTTGTCAAATGTTGGCCAGATGTGGAAAGAGAGCTTCTCTCATACACAGATGGTCTCTGCTGCATGCTTGAGAAGACCCTTCACTGCTTTTCCCTTTATTATTTTCTGTTGGTTAAACATTACGGTACCTGTTAATTGGACCCACTTTTCTCACTGGGTGGCAATGCAGTGAAGAGCTGTCAGGTGAGCTGCTACAGTGACTTATTGATTGTCATTAATATGTCCTGCTTTCCTTCTGAAGAAAGGCAGGTATTGCTTTTCCTCATGCAGTACAAGCAATGCATGGAGCTGGGGATATGCCAGTACTTTGTATTGGCTAGGAGGACTGACCTACTCCTCTCTCATCTGCCTTTGCTGACACAGCTGTTTTTCTGTTACCCCATCCCTTAGCAGGCTCTTTCTGGCACCTGAACTTGCTTTAACTCTCCATTGCAGGTTATCAGAGGCAGCTGAACTACAAACACACAGATGGGTCTTACAGTACCTTTGGACCACGTTATGGCCAACCAGGGAACACCTGGTGAGATTTCAATGTCACCTATGCCTTCCCTATATGCTCCTCTTTCTCACTCACATATTTATAATGAATACTGTCTGGCGTAAATAGGAAATGCTACTTGTAGACCAGCAGACCATGAGCTAGCAGGAATTTAATTATTCTTCCCTGTAATTATGAGTACTACTGTTATGCAGCTATTTAACTAATTGGCGTGCAAGTCCCCGCATTTTCTAAAGAGGAGGTTTTTTTGGATACAGATGAACAATCATTGTCCTTCAAACTGTAGCCTCAACACAAAAGGATCACAGGGTTTTATGAACCAAGAGAGGGACAAAAACCAAGGTGGAAAGAAGGTTTGACAGAATATTTTGAGGTGAGGATACAAAATACATGAGGTTTGACTAATTGGCCCACAGTTCCCCAGGCCTTCTTGCCTATCTCCAGACAGATGATGTGCACATGAACCCTGTCATTTGAGATGGGCAACAGTCTTGCTCAGGCCCTTTCTCTTTCTCCCTTTCAGGCTCACAGCTTTTGTCCTCAAGTCCTTTGCCCAGGCTCGGCATCATGTCTTCATAGATGAGAAGCACATCCAGGATGCTTTTGTCTGGCTGTCCTACAAACAGAAGGAGAATGGATGTTTCCAGAGTTCTGGGACACTCCTGAACAATGCCATGAAGGTGACGTGTCTGCCTGGTCGTTACTTCATGAGTCTAGAACTTTACATGAGTCAGATGGGTGCAGTTGAGCTTCTTGAACGTACAGGCAGGTGGGATATTGCCATGTCAATGGCAAACACTAGGGAGGTAGCCATTTGCCATTCTGTATGACCACCAACATGCACTAATTAGTGGAATTGATACCTCCACGTCAGCTGCAAAAGGAAGGGGAAAGCTAAGGCTTTACAATGCAGAATAGCATATGCCCACTGGAGTGGGAGAAAAGACTGAAGATAAGAAGCTAGGTGGGGTCAGCATCTACGTTTGTGTTTCCCTACAGGGTGGAGTAGACAACGAGGTCTCGCTGACAGCCTACATCACTATTGCGTTGCTGGAGATTCCTCTGCCTGTAACTGTACGTGGCTGCATTCTAACTTGAGTCAATTGTGTTGTGTTAGTCTATGACACAGTATCACCAATATTTGATCCAAACCGGAAAAATGACTTGGTTGTTGAGCCCTGTGATATAAGAATTTTGCGCTGTCAATTTTCTATTTCTGAAACCCACTGAACCCTACTCGTTTTTAGATCTCATTCTGGCAGATCCCTCCTGAAAGTTCAGTGGGATGATGTGCTCTTAGTAAGTCAAAAAACCTAATTTCTTTTGAGCCTTCTAATCACTGGTTATCTCTCCCCAGCACTCATTGATAAGGAATGCTCTGTTCTGCCTGGAAACAGCGGCAGATCAGAAAGAAAACCATGTGTACACCAAGGCACTGCTAGCATATGCATTTGCCCTGGCAGGGAAAACAGATAAGCGGAAGACATTGCTTGACTCACTTGAAAAGGAAGCCGTGAAAGAGGGTGAGTACTCCTGCTGGGACATCTCTTCCATTGGCGTTACATCTTCCCTTGATAAAATGGCTTTTGTTGGTGGGACAATCTAGGCCTGAGGCTCAG